TATGTGCATTGTTTTTTAGACACAGGGCAACTGCACATTTAACAGACTACAGGATGGGTTCAACGTAACTTTTATACACACTGGGAAACCAGAGAATTCATTCAACTCGCTTTATTGCAGCATTTGCTTTATTGCAGCATTTGCTTTATTGTGGCGGTCTGGGACCAACCCCACAGTATCCCCACGATGCGCCTGAATCACAGAAGCCCGTCCTCCGTTACCACATTCTGAGTCGCACCCAAGAGCGGGCCTGCTCTCCTGCCGTGGAGGTACACACAGCGCCCTTTGGGCCCGGGAAGCCTCTGAAGTTCGGCCCTTCACAGAAATACTTGCAGACCCCCAGGACCACTAGAGATACAGGGAGAGGGCAGGGCGAGGGCACCCACCTCGAGGAGGTCGATGAGCACGTTCCCCTCGGCCTGCCGTGAGCTGCGCACGTCCTGCAGCACCAGTGCGTAGTAGACGCCGCGCGGGTCTGACTGGTACAGGTTGTAGGTGTCTGCCTGGTACCACTCCTGCACCGCCACGAACACCTGGCTCTCGTCCGTGCTGATGACCTGCAGGTCCTGGGGACATGGCGGGAGAGCGCACGGTCAGGGTGGGCTGGGGCTGCTGGGAGGGAAGCAGCCACCTCAGGAGGGGCAGGCAGGCCTCCGGCTCGGGCTGGGGAGCAGTGACAGCCCCCTCCTCCCAGTCCCACATTGACTGTCCGCCTGCCTGTCTCTGCAGTGGACACCCAGACGGTCACCCCTGCTGGGTGGGAGTGGGTCTCCTCCCCAGCTCCCTGCCCCATCCCATCGTGAGGATCATGTGAATCATCTGTTGGCTCCTTCATTCAGTGCATATTCATGAAGCATCTACTGTGTGCCAGACACTATTCTAGGCACTGAGGTCCAGCAGGGAGCCACATGCGGTCTCTGCCCTCTGGGGACATACACTGGGTAGAGGGGTGGACTGACACACTCCAGCCCCACGTCCCAGGGCATCATCTCTGGCCCACGACATGAGCCGCCCCTCACCCAGGGCTCCTCCGTGCCAACCCATGCCAAGGCCTCCCCGACATCTGAGGGCCCCCCACCCTGGCACCTGCTGGGCTCACGGCTGACAAGGCCCCCGTAGGTGGTCAGTCGCGGGCAGTGTGGGAGCCCAGAGCAGGCCGCTCACACGGCCGCAGTTGGGAGGGCTGCCCAGGAGCAGAGCCTCCATCTCTGGCCAGGCACCTGGGAGCCAGCCAGAGACTCCCGAGCTCTGCAGTTGCCATAGGTTTCAGTTCCAGATTGAGGAATAAAGCAAGACCCACTCAGAGAAACAGGCAGGGAAAGGAACCCGGGGCTGACCTGGGCTTTGTTTCCCCTTCCCTCCCGGCCAGCACCAAATGCTGTGTGGGAGCTGGCGAGGCCTCCGGGAGGCCCCTTCCCAGCCATCAGCCTCATTCTCCAGCCTCCACCGCCCTCCCTCCTGCACTTGGGAACTCTGATTGCCCTCCTGGTGGTACCGCTGCCAGGACACAGGAGTGCATGATGGCGGAGTAGCTGGCGGCCCCTGCAGGATGGGCTGCCCACCCAGCCTCCACCCCATGTGGGCTGGCGCATCTGGTGATGGGGCTCAGAGGGTAGATTTTTTCTCTAATGACGTATTGAGTCCCTATCCCATCCAGCTGGGCATGGCCTTCAGTTGACAGTGAGGAAGTGGCTGGGTAGATGCCCTGGGTAAAGGTTTACTATGATCTGGGAACCAAGAATGCGGACAGCAGCTACAAGTTACCTGGGATGCCACCCTGAGAACAATCTGCCACTGACATGTTAGAATGTGTGCCTGTGGGCTTTTCCTCAAGTGTGATTCATGTGTCTTTTCATATTGTCGCTTGCTCGTTCACATTATGCGGGGAGCATTTTCTTCTGTCATTAAAATTACTTCAAAGTGCCACTTTTAATGAGTGCATGATATTACACCGTGCGGAATAGTTCAGTGGATGATGATTTTCCCACCAGCGAGCCTCCAGCATCCTCAATGTCAGGTGCGATGCAGTCAGGAACGTGACTCTGTCCCTGAGGTTGTTTCCTCAGCATCAGTCCTAAGGGGGATCGCCGCTCTGCAGAGCAGGGGCTTTATTAAGACTCTAGGTCCATGTTGTTGAATGCCTGTCCAGAAGGTTCCTGTCCTTCTGACCAGCAGGGCTAGAAGGTACAGCTCATTCCACGTCATGCATGCCAACACTGAGAATGGCCTTTTAAAAAGCTTCACTGATCCCAGAGTGATAAATAAGATGCAAGTTTTGCTTAAATTTGCATGTTACTCTTTTTTTAAAAAAGGAAAGTTAGAAGCAGAGACATTTGTTGACTAATTTTTAAACAGTGGACATGAACAATGTCACACATCTGTGTGTGTGTGTGTGTGTGTTTTTATGGCTTGGGCAAATACTTGGAAGGAAACACCAAAGTTGCCAATATTTGTTATCAGGTAGAATTAGGTTGATTGCAAGTAACAGAAACTGGAAAAAAAAAAAAAGGGTCAAACAAGATAAAACCTCATTTCTCCCATATGTAAAATAAATCCAGAGTAGACGGTCCAGTATGGAAGCTCTACAAAGTCTCCATTCTACCACCCCATGAACCGACCCTTGTCCTCATGACTCAAAATGACTGCTGGAGTTCCAGCCATCATGGTGACAATCAAGGTACTGGGAAGGAGAAAGGAACAAGGGAGAGAATGCCTTGCCTTCAAAGGAAGGCTCTGAGGGATCTCACAGGACAATCCCACTTACATTTCATTGGGCAGATTTTAGAAACACGACCACATGTAGATACAAGGAGAGCTGGGAAATATGGTCCCAGCTGACATCTGGGGTTTGCTAATCTAGGTAAAGGGGAAGAACGGGTATCAAGAAGTCTTTAAAGTTTCTACAAGTTACCTTGAGGAAAGAGGAAGTGAGATTGCCAAGGGAAGCAGGGCCAGAGAGGGAAGCAGGTAGAAACGGTGTATATATTTGCATTATTCCATTAGCTGTGTGAATACACTTTGAAAAAGTAAGTGTGGAAAGATTAAAAACACTTTTAATGAGCATGATAGGGGAGAGTTCCCCATAGATTATTATGCAAAATCCATGGACCAGCCCAATGAGCCGACGCCTTCATCAGATTCTTTTGAGCGCCTTGAGTACAGCACCTTCTGGGCTCCAAGGTTTCGGATGAAAAATCTGCTCGTAATCTTACTGAGATAGTGTTTTTGTGATGAGTTGCTTCTCTCTTGCTGCTTTCAAAAGTTTTTCTTTTGTCTTTCAACAGTTTGATTATCATGTGTCCTGGACACCAGAACTCTTTGTGTTTATACTACTTGGTGTGTTTATACTAGTTGGAGTTTATCAAGCTTTTTTAGATATTTATATTCATGTCTTTTATCGAATTTGGGAAGTTTCTGACCACTCTTTCTTCACATAACCTCTCTGCGCCTTCCTCTCTCTCTTCTTCGTCTGGGACTCCCACAGAGCCTGTGGGGGTCCCCTTGATGGTGTCCCCACACCCCTTAGGCAGTGTGCACTATCCTTCAATCTTTTTTCTTTCTGTTCCTCAGATTCTATCATTTCAATTGTCCTATTTTCAAGTTCTCTGATTCTTTCTTCTGTCTACTCAAATTTGTTTTGAATCTCTCTTGTGAACTTTCCATTTCAATTATTGTTGTTATTTTAGATCCAGAATTTCCTTTTGGTTCCTTTTAATGTTTTCTATTTCTTGGTATTTCTATTTTGTTCAAACATTGCTTTCTTGACTTTCTGCACAATTTCCTGTAGCTGTCTGAGCATCTGTAAGACAGGTGTGGGAAGGTCTTTGTCTCGTCCGGCTGCCATCTGGTCGTTCTTGGGGACCATTTCTGTTGGTATTTTTGCCTTTAGACGGGTCCTACTTTCTTGGTTTGCCTCGTGATTTTTCTTGTTGAAAACTAGACACTGGAATCTAATGTGATAATTCTGGAAATCCGATTCCCTCCCTTCCCCAGGGTTCGCTGTTTTTTGTTTTTGGGTCTGATTTTGGTAGCTGTCAGCTGTCTGTACCAAGGATCAGTCTTACCATGTAAACTTAAGGTCTTTTCTGAGCGTGAGCTTTTCCCTGGGCAGGCACAGTGACTTTAAGTTCCTTCACGTATGTGGTTGCTTCTGCAGGTTCGAGTCCTTAAATGTCTGGTTCCCAAAGGGGAAAGAAGGAAATCAAAGGGAGAGGTAGGAACAGGTTCTGGCCCTTCCCATCCCTCCGAGGCTGCTTCAGCGGGCGGTGGCTGCGATAATGGTCGCCTGCCTGGGTGTCTGCACCTCCGTGAACAGAATCAGTGACCAGCAATCAGAGCGCCGACACCCAATACTGGGAGGACGAGGGCCTTATGCCTATTCTGGCTCCTGCAGGGTGGGGACACGCTGCTCCAGGAACAGGCACACATGGCTGCCTGCCACGGGGCTGGGGTTGCCACCATGGGAAGAGCTAAAATTGGGAATTAAACTTGATTTACTGTCCAAGCATTTCCCTGCAAGCTGCCAACCTTTGGAGAGACTCCAAAGTTCTGAAACAGTTACATCAGGTTCTGCAGGGCAGCTGCTGAAGATGGGTTCCTGGTGGTTCCCCCCAGCCATCTTCCCTGGGGTCACGGCCCTTTTACTCTTATGTTTCATGGATTTTATTTTATTATATATATATATATATATATATATATTCATTACAAATGAATGTTTTTACATAGTGGGGAGTTATTTGAACCTTTCTCCTCTTTTGTCTACTTACAGTCTCTGTCTATTTTTTTTTTTCTGTTAGGGAACATGGGTCATTTTGGAAAAGTATCAAAAGAAAATAATTCAAGCATAGGATGCTAGCAAATAAAGTAAAAGTTATGCATCCTTTGTAGTTTTCAGAGATAGGTGAATTAAAAGAGCAGAATGTCAACATTTATGCCTCTTAAAGTTGAAGGAAAATAGGAAGAAATAATACAACATGAGATTTGGCAAAGCTGCAGAAACTGGTGTATCCTAGCTTTGCCTGGCAAGGAGGAACCCTTTTAGAAAGCAACTAAGTTACACACATATTTAAATCCTTTGCCCAGAGTTTTTCTTAGGTTTTACCTTGAGAAAATAAAAAATACCTGCAGACACAAATATATAAACATTGCAGCACTGTTTATAACTATGAAAAATGGAAACCACCCAAAGCCTAAGCAACAGGAGTCTGGCTTCTCTAAACAAGGTAAGGCTCCTCAATTGAAGGTTTTACAGTCATTCGGTGGATATCCTGTGTCTTTCTGAATAAATTCTCATGATACAATGTCAGACTGTAGACGGGAGTGCCTGCTGCGCTTCGGCTACATCAAGTCACCTTGGCTTGTGGCCAAGGACTGTGAGAAAAACCCAACAGGCCCGGCGGCTCAGGGGAGGCTGGGGGTGAGCGCCCTCTGCTCCCGTTTCTGCTGTTTTTATGATGTTACTATGGCAATTAAAGAGAAATAAAGAGAGGGGTGGTTTCAGGGGTAGGAAACAGGCAAGAGTTCCAAATTCACCATAAAACAACAAAACCTGATTAGGAAAATCGGTTAGCCAGTTTGACAAGTCGGTGGTGGGGCCTGGCGTCTGGCCTGGGAATCTGGCAAAGGGGAGGCAGGCCCATTCTTTGGCTGGGGGAAGTTCCCAGCAAGATATGTGGTCTGGAGGGCCCCTGGGAATCTGGGGGAGCACTCCCTGAGAGCCACCCCACTTGTCCATCGTCCTCAGGGTCCAGGGCACAGACCCTGAGCCAGCACATGTAGTGCCCCTGCAGACGCTGCCCATCTGAATAGGCCCCTGATCTTCCCCTAAAACCAGATCCCGTGTTCCATTTCTGTCACCCACTGATGGGGTGGGGGGTGTATCATCTATCAGAGCCTTATAATTCTTTTTTATCATCCTTATTTCCACAGAAATGGGGGGAAAGGAAGCCAGCAGGAAATGCATGCCGTGATGGGCCTGCAGAGGTGCCCCTGCCAACCCCACCGTGACTTTGAGAAATACAAAGTGCTATCTCGTCTGCAGACAAGGACCCCGGCGTCCAGGGAGGTGCAGCCAGAATTCAAGGTCATATAGGTCATGACTGGGGCTGTAAGTTCTTTAGAACTCCCTGAGAAATGGCCCGGCTCCAGGTCCATCCACCCCTGGCCCAGGAGAGGGGTGGCATGTGCCCGGGCTCCTGGTGCCACAGGGCAGCAGGGAGGGACCTGCCGTCCACCTCACTGCTCCTCTCCACATGTCCCCCCGCACCACCAGGACAAGGGCCTGGGACACTGGATGCTTCTGATGCTGACGTCCCCAGGGGTGGAGGGAAGCCCTCTGGGAAGCTGAGAGGCCCCCCCTCACTGCACAAGGACACCCGCCGCATCTGCCATAAACGAGATCACCAGCTTTGCATCCACCGACTCGGTGGAGCCCGGAGTGAATCTGTCAAGGTTGCTCCCTCTCTTTCTTCCCTTCCCTATTTTTTTCCTCGCCTTGTCAAGAGAAGCTTTTAAAAGTTTTTACAAAGTTCTCAAAGTCCTCATGCACTTTCCCATTTCTGGCACAGGAAAGGCCTGACAGCACCCAGCCCAGCAGCTCGTGTGTCAGGGACTTTGCAGCAGCCCACAGCCCCGGGCTCGCGGGGCCCAGGACACCTGTCTCCCGTCACCCCATCGCGCCCCCTGCCCTGCAGGCAGGCCTTCTCCCGCCCCAGGGCCTTTGCACATGCCCTGCCTTCCAGGGCACAGCTTTCTCGCCGCCTTCGGACATCAGGTGTAGCGGCCAGCATCGCCTGCCTCTTCCTCGCGCTCCCCCACAGCGCAAACAACAGCTCGCGATTATTTTATATGTTTGTCTGTCTATTTGGTTTTCTGCCTGCTTCCTGTCTGAAAACCCCACAAGAGCAAGAGACGGGGGGATCTGATTCGCAGCCGTAGCGTCCGTTCTTAGCTTATATTTGACGCTCAGTAAGTACGTGTGGGGAGAAGGGCTGCTTCAATCTGCGTCTCTGAGTGACGCGAGTGGAGCGGAGGTGTGCGAAGCAGGCAGTCCAGGGTCCCCGAGAGGGAGGCGGGGCCTGGGGCTGGTCTCAGATCCACTCAGACCTGGGTTTGGGACCTGCCTTGGTTTCTTACTGGTGTGACCTCGGACAGGATACTCAGCCTCTCAGAGCATCTATCACCTGCTTTGCAAATGGCAATGACATCAGCAGGGAGGGGACTGTGCGGTCGGTCCTGAGACAGGGCGGGGGGGAGGCCCCCCACTTCCCCTTCTTTGCCTGCCCAGGCAAGGGGAAGCAAGTGGCATTAACTGAGCACCGACTACATACTGGGCACCACGCTAGGTGGTTGGGACACAGCGGCAAATAGAACAGACCCTCAGAAATGTCAGATGAAGGCAGGACGTGGACGGAGGGGGGCCGGTCCCCAGCACCACGAGTGGCAGGAAGGACGAGGGAGTCATGTAAGTGGGAAACCAAGGCCTAGACCAGCCTGGAGGGTCCCTAGTAAGTGAGTCTCTGAAACACCACATATGAAGCAGTTTTGAGAAAAGACAGACCAGGCGGAGGGAAGAGCATGGCTGAGGCCCTGAGACGGGGTGAAGCCGGGTGCGTGTGAGGCTGGGGGGAGGGTGGGAGGGGAGAGCGGCTGGAGGAAGCCAGGCCGCCCTCGCTCTTGTCCATCCCGACCTGCGACCACCAAACACCTGAGCAGCAGCCCTGGGGCCCCACACGTCACTGCAGGTGGAACAGGAAAGCTGCCCTTACCTTTGGCAAAGCATACTTTGGCAGCTTCATCAGGACGAACTCGCTGCGACGGTAAGAGACGTAGTATTTGGTCCTGTTTGTTGAGGTTGCCTAACAGGAGGGAAAAAAGACACATTTTTAAGGGGCTAGGTTTCCTATAAAGCTTTCCTATAAAGGTACATGTTGTATTTTAGCTGGTGAAAATACCCTTTTACTTTGCTTATACTTGTTAATGTCTGAAATGGACAGACTCCTATTCATCCTTCAAAGCCCCATATCAAATGCCCCTCCTCTGGGAAGTCTTCTTCTACCTCCCTCAGTTAGAACTAAGTTCTTTCCCCATGTTCTCTCAGCACCTTGTTTCCCTACATCCAAGTTATGGAACAAGGTGGAGAAAGTCCTGTTTCCCAGAAGTTCTCTTAGGGGGAGATCGGTGATCCACTGGGTAGAGAAAGAGCAAGGCCAAAGGTAAGCTAAAGCTATGAAAGACGGCCACCAAACCAGAGGCAAGCATCCCTGACACTGCGTGGCCAGCACGTCCCGAGCACAGTGCATTTAGTCTCAAAACAAACAACCCCACAAATAACAATTATTTCCATTTTAAAGATGAGAAAACCGAGGCACAGAGATGGAGTAACCTGTCTCCCACAGGAGATAGCAGAAGAGCCAGGGAAGAGGGGCATTTGCATTCTTGGGGTTGGGACAGGACACAGAGAGTGGGGGGAAGAAGGACCAGGGTCCACACCAGGCAATAGTGACCTTGAAGTCTTACTACACCTGCGTGTATGTGATGGGGTGTCTGTGTGTACACACATGTGCACGGCTTCTCTGTTTATGCATGCATGGGAGGTGCAGCCAGAATTCAAGGTCATATAGGTCATGACTGGGGCTGTAAGTTCTTTAGAAGCCCCATGTGTGCATTTGCTGTGCATACAGGAGTGTGTGTGGGTGCTGGCGGGTGTGCGTGTGTGTGTGTGCATATGTGGTGATACAGTACTGTGCTGAAGAGCACGGGCCGTCATGCTTTACTGTCTGGGTTCAAAGTGCAGCTCCTCCATCTGTAGCCACGGGGCCCAGAAAGCACGACATACCCCTCCTGAGCCTTGGCTTCCCCCTTATGAAATGGGGATGACAGTGGCAGAGGTACCTGCAGGGGCAGCATCTGGGAGGCACGTGGGCCAGTGCCTGGCCGCAGCAGGAGCTACATACATGCTGGATGCTGCTAGTATCACAGAGCAACAGATACACAGCCACTCCCTACACAAGCCCACAAAACGCGACTCAGGGTGACAACAATGATGGCGAGGTTTCTCTAGACAATTCCATCCCCAAGGGCAGGGACTGTGAGGTCTGTAGCGGTCTGGCTCTCATGTCCCCTGGGTGGGGAGCGGTGTGATGGGTAGGTGTACAGGGGTCCCAGGAGCTGAGAGAAAGGGCCTCTGGGGTGGGAGAAGCCAGGCAGGCTTCCCGGAGGAGGCAGCACCCTGCTCCAGAAGGAAGGGCCACACAGCCCAGAGGCAGATGACCTGCTTAGCAGGTTGGGAGGACACTGGAGAGCGACCAGGGGAAGACAGTGCCCCTTCTCAGAGCCCCGCCTGCCACCTGCTGAGCTCCGGGGAGGGGGCAAAAGCAGGGCAGCCTTTATGCCCCTCAAAGTGTTTGTGCTCACTGGGAAATAGTGGGTGTGACTTGCTGGTGGCTGCCAGTGAGGGGGCGTGAGCAGGCCCAGCTTGCCAGGAGCCGGCGGGCACACAGTTGGCCTCCTGTCCGGCCCTGGTGGGGCGTGAACAGGACCATCGCAGCGGCCACCCTGCCTCCCCCACCGGCCACCAGGCCCAGGGGGCTTATGCTGCGGGCCTGAGGCTGCGGGCCGGGCACAGCGGGTGCCTCCATGTCAGAGAGGCGGACGTGACTTGACCCGGCGATGGGCAGGGAGGCCGCCCCACCGTGGGGATGCTCCGAACAGGCCCCTCCTTCATGTGCGCATCTGCCCACATCGCCCCACCTCCCCGAACAGCAGACCTGAGGCCTCCGGCCTGCTGTGGGGGGCCAGAGAGAGCCAGGCGAGAGGGTTAACTGGGCGCCCCTCCTCTGGGGGGCAGCGCCCCCGTCGGTCCGTCCTTGGCCTCGCGCTGGCAGGGACGGTCATGCCCAGTTCACGGATTAGCAAACAGAGGCCCCGAGGGGGGACGACGGCTCTGTCCTAAGCCACTGGGCTAGGACCCCCTCCCTGTGCCTGGTGAAGGCCTCCTGGGAACCAGCCCCTCCTTCCTGGGGGGGGACCATCATCGGCCCCTTGGTGCCACTAAGTACCACTAAGTACTAAGCCACTTAGTTCCTTGACATGGGGCGTAGGGACACTCTGTGCCCAGCACAGGGACCTTCCCAGCTGCTCAGTGGCCTCAGAGGGCCCGACATTCCTGGAGTGCCCCCCCCAGGCCAGGCCTCCTGCCAGGCGCCTCCCCCAGGTGACCACTGCATCCTGTGCTGGGCCTGCAGGGAGGTGACCGTGTCCACCCCAGCTGAGGGTCCAGCAGGCTCCTGGCCCTGCCCAGGGGCACCTGCCTATTGGCAGAGGGTCTGGATTCTCTGCCAGTCCTGACCAGAGCTCTTCCTACCAGAACAGACCACAGCTGTGGCCGTGGGCAAAGCCATGTCAGACCCTGATGCCCCATCAGGCGTGACTGAGTGCCGCCGCCTACAAGTGAGGCCACAGGGGCCACGTGCAGGTGAAGCGGGCATGGGCACCCACGTTATATCTCCTGGCACCTGCTGCTGGACTCCCTCGGGAGGGAGGAGCCAGTCAGGCACTATCCCCACTTCAGGGTTTGTCACTGGCCGGCTGCATCATTTGGCAGGGCATTTAATTTTCCTGATCTTTAGTTTTCTCCTCAATAAAATGGGGCCAATGCAAAGATACGAAATCCTATGAGTAAGGCAGCCTGTGGGCATCTGTCACCCCGGGGGTGCGGCCACCATCACTATGGGCTGGGAGGGGACACGGGAAGGGTGATCACAGGGCATCGGCCCCTCCAGGTGGCACAGCAGCGTCAACCCCAGAGCTGGGCATCTGCTCCGCAACAAGAACAGCCTGAGGACAGGGCCGTGCACGGCAGGTATGGGAAACACAGGCCACCGGTCCTCGAGGCCATGGCCACACCCCATGGACAACAGGAGAACCTGTCCAGTCCAGGAGCGGAGGGTCTGGGTTCACAGACACCTCCTGCTGCAGCCCCTGCTGGGGCCTTTCCCCAGGAAGTGGACTTCCAGGTCCAGCGGCCACCGCGCTGCTGGTGGGAAGGGCCCTGGCACGGGGCTGTGTCCTCTGCGGACCAGAGAGGGGCAGTGGGGGGCAGAGCTGCCTCCCAGAGGTAAGTGCTCCCTGGGGCAGGCCGGTGGTGTGGGACGGCAAGGGGCAGCCTGAGTGACCTCCGGCTTGGGGGCTAGGAGCAGCCCTTCCATTGCTGAGGAAGATGGGCAGAGCCGCTCAGGACGGGAGCTGGGCAGAGCCCAAGCAGGGCCAGGCGTTTCCCTGTGCAACGTGACAGGGTCTCCAAGCACCACCGTCACACCAGGCCACTGGCTGTGAGGGCTGGAGGCCCCTGAGAGCACCCTGCAATCACACCTGGGCACAGGCGGACCGACCACAGCAAGACCTCGCACCCCGTCCTGGCCAGGTGAGTGGGGCTGCCCCTCCACTGCCCGCCTTTACCTCGCTGAACCCCTCACCAGGTAGGATTTATCGAGATGCCCAATCAGCATGTGCCCCTTCCTGACACTGCCAACCCGGTTTCCTTGAATCCCCCCAAATCACCATCACCCGCAGCCAGGCCTTTCCTGCCCCCACTCACCAAGCTGCCCCACAGCTCCTCATGGGGCACCAAGCCCTCACCAGCTACAGCCACAGGTGGCCCCTGGGGGCTGGGGCTGGGGCACAGGCACTGATAGACCAATCAGAACATTTAGAAGCCACTCAGCATGGGATTTAGGAGTCAGAAAAACCAGACACTGTCTTTGCTCCAACAGTCAGTAGTGTTTGTAGAAATGCCTTGCAAGGTACAGGGAAAACCGTGTGCTCAGTGCAGACTAGGGGCCCTCGTCCCCAGACATAAACAGTAAAGGATGGCGCCATGAGGCTTAGGCTGTAACAGAAGAACAGGGCTGTGGTGCCATGAAAAGCAGCCAGTAAGCCCGAAGTAAAGGTGGCAGTCAGGGAAGGCTTCCTGGAGGAGGTGGTGTGCCACTGAGTCTCAGAGGAGGAGCAGGAGTTAGCCAGGTGGAGAAGTAGTGGGTGTGGGCATTCCAGGACACAGCAGAGCGTGCGCGAACACACGGAGCAGACCGGAAGCAGCAGGCTGGGCATCGGCAGAGGGCCAAGGAGAGTGGGGGCAGGGGCCTCTTGCCTGGCCTGCTCTGATGGGGGCCATGGCACGCCCTGCCAGTGCCAGCCCCTGACTCCACAGGAGGCCTGGCACATTTGCGCACGGACAGGGACAGCTGGGGACATGAAATGTCCCTGAACAGGGCACAGAGGAGGCTGGGCAGGCGGAGCCTTCTGGGGAGACAGCACCCAGAGGCTGCCCTCAAGGGCCTCCCTCCACAGCAGCCTCTGGACCCGTCTCCCAGGGTCCCAGAGGGCAGGACGGGGGCCACCGGACGGGAGCAGAGCAAACACTGTCTCAGCACCAGAATGAACTTCCTGAAGGTTCGCGCTGCCCAGGAGAGGGGCAGGCTGTCCGGAAGGAGGGAGCTCCTCATCGATGGAAGTGATCACGAAGAGGCAGATGTCGCTCACCGGAGTTCCCGGGTGGTCAGGGCACATGGCCTCTGAGCATGGTTCTGAGCCTCACCTGACTGCTGTGGGCACAGGGTCCTGGGTGCTGGGCTGTGGACAGCTGGCGCCTGGAGGCCAAGGGCCATGACCTGAGCCAAGGCCTGAGTCTCAGGTCGCCAGACCAGATGGAGCAGGTGGGCTTAGAGGCCCCAGGCTGTGGGGACCCCTGGGGGGCGGCAGGAGGAGGGGACAGCCTCCCTGGGCTGAGGCTCTGGCTTTGCGGGGCCCTCAGGGAGGTCTGGGCGGGGGGCAGCTGTGGCCACTGGGGCAGGACCGTGAATCGAGCAGCACTTGAAAATAAAAGCCGTTTTAGTGCCTCCTGTCCAAGTGACTCCACTTTCCCCAGAGTGGCTCATCCTCCACGTCACCTACTGCCAATTTCCTAGAGCCCCGGAGGCAGCCTTACCTTGAGGAAGATGTAATCGTCCTGCACGGTCAGAGAGCCGTGGGCAATGGAGCCTGCGAACGGAGCTGTCAGCGCCTTATCGGAGCAGTTGTGGATCTGGCAGGTGACATACCGGAAACCTGCAGGAGATAAGAACCAGCCACTCGGGTGTGAGATCTCAGACAGTCAGACCTTAGTGGAAGGAGTCGGGTGCAGCCTCGACACCATGCGGAGCTGCCCTCGGCTCCATCTGTGCAGGACTGCTGGGGCTTTGTTGGTGGTTTGAGTTGTAAAGGGCCTGCCCTGTGATTACACCTGCTGAGTGGGCGGCTCTGTGCCAGGCGCTCTGCAGCAAGGAGCTCCTGGAATCCTCGGGGAGCTGTCTGTGGCCCCAGCCTGCAGATGAGGAAACTGACGCTGAGAGAGGTTAGGTATCTTGCCTAAAGCAGGCCATTCGGGCTGCCGCCAGCTCGTTGCAAAGCAAGGCTTCCTGGAGCACAGTGGTGCCTGCCCACAGGTGCGCCATCTTAGGGCCTTCGGGCACTACCCAGGCAGAGCCGATCTGCAGCAGAGACCGTACGGCCCGCCATGCCGACAACACTAGCCGGCCCTTGATGGGAAACGCTTGCTGCCGCAGGCCGAGCCGCGCAGGTGAGCTCCGGGATGGGAGTGCCGGCCTCACGCACCTTCTTCCCACAGCTCCGAGCTACGGAGGAACCTCAGGCTGTGGGCAGGAGACCCCCAACCCCGGTCCCCATCCAACCGGGTGTGCTGGGCATGCGTGGTCACCCACAGAAGGGACGGCACGGGGCACTCACAAAACCCATCATGGCACAGGACCCCGCCCATCCCCCTGGAGTCTCTCCCACCTAAACAGGGGTGGGTATGCATGGGACTAAGCACTTTTCAGCCCTGAACTTTAGGTAAGTATTTTCAAATATTTACGATTGAGCAAAGTTGAATGCACACTTGGCCAGGCAGCTGCTGTTTTTATTTCAAGGCCCTGGGTTTTCCCAGGGCTGGGGAGCTCTGGCAGCTTTACAGGTGGGCCAGAGCCTACACGCTGTACGAAGCTTTTTAGCAGCTTGTGGGGCAGGAGTGGGATTTAACCATGGGGACCAGAGTGGAGCCCAGCAAGGGCTTGGAGTCATCAGCACCTTTGGGGTACAACCTGCCTGAGGCCCTGGGGTGTGTGCTGAGGGGGTGGGCCAGGATGACCCACCCCTAATTTCTCCGCAGGGTAACCCCAGCCTCAGGGGTCCACTGTAAAAAGGGGATTCATGCCCCTCCAGGAGTTGCTGGGGCCCCATGAGGTGGCGGCACACAGCAGGCCTACAGTCAGCCACAGCTGGGCCTCTACCCACACTACGGAACCACAGCCACTTCCCCTGAGAGTGTCGCTCCCAGTGGCTGTGAGGGAATTGTTGCAGGCTTGATGCACGGCTAGGGAACAAGCCCAGGCCAGGCTCGAAGCCCACAAGCACTCACCCGACTGTTCCTCACCACTCACTCATTCATTCATGCACTCATTCAATCACTCACCCACTCACTCCTCACTCACCCACTCACTCATGCATTCATTCATGTGTTCATTCATTTACTCACACACTCATTCATTCATGCATGCATGCATTCGGTCACTCACTCACTCATCAGTCACCCACTCACTCTTAGTGGCCCAGCATCTGCTCAGGGGGACTGGCACCTGGCCACGTGCTGATTCACCCAGCAGCTGTACTGCGGACACAGAAGTGAGTCAATCAGACCCCACCCTGTCCCCAAGGAGCAGGGGCAGAGCAGCCTGGGTGCTATGGAGCCCAGAGAAGGCAGCTGGTGGGGTCAGTGGCCCAAGACAATGAGAAAGGAATCCAAGGTGTGGACAAGGGTTCCCAGGTGACAAGAGCTGGTGAGGGGAGCCTGGGATGGCCTGGGGATCAGGCTGGCACAGGGCAGGGAGGGGGTGAGGAGTTGGGGTGGCACCACAAGGCCCTGGACGCCAAGCTTGGCTGGACTGGATTCTTGTGGGGGTTCAGGCTGCAGTGGCTGGGGTGGGGACGCTGGGTGGGGGAGCAGGGAGAAGTGTGTGGTCTTCCGTGGGGACACCGGCCATGCGGCACATCAGTGCTGGGGTCGCAGCTGCCGGGCTGTGGTTCTTCTTCCCCAGAGGAGGGATCACGGTGAAAATGCTGCCCTTACTGAGGATGCAGCCTGCCCTTCCTCCTCTCTGGAGGCTGACGTTGTGCAGACAGCCACCCCGCCTCTGCTGCATTGAGCCCTGCTGAGTGGCCAGTCCCCACGTCATCCTGCGTGAGCCCAGGGAGGATGCCTGTGCCTGGAGGATGATGGGAGTTGGGGTCTGTACTGGCCGACGACCCCATGGCTGCAAACCTGCAACCTCTGAGCTTTGTTCTCCCGGTCAGTGAAGCGGGAGTGACAGTAACACCACGTCCGCTCCCCACAGGATGGTGGGTCCAGCAGAGGGCAGAGGCTTTGGAAATGGGTAAGGGATCCAGTAGCAGCGTCCAGCCCCCAGCTGTGTAGCCATGATGCCCCCGCGTGTGTACTGACCCCCCTCACAGGTGAGGAGGCCGAGGGGCAGGAAGGCGGGGTGACCTCCCGAGGGTCATGTGACGCACACGGCGGTCTGGGAGCTGACCCCAGGGCTTCTGCCCCCGGTCAGGGCTCTCCTTTGTCTGGCCCCGCATCTGCCCTCTGTGGGGCATGTCCTATCTGGGTATCTACTGCTTTGTAGCTCCCACCGCTGCTGATGGGACCTGCCGAGGTCTCCACTCCTGGAGAACCGAGGAGGAGGTGGCCCAGGGACCCTGGTGTCTGTGGGGAATGTGGTCAGGCGCCCAGGGGGCACCCCCTCACCAGCCCTGCTGGACTTGAGACACCTGGCTGGTGCAGTGACTGACTGCCTCTGTGCCCGCCCCCGCCCATCAGGCAGGGGCAGGGTTGTGTCTTGTTCACCTCGTTGTCCGCAGCAGGGTCAGCACTGGGCTGGGCCACAGGGGCCTCAGCAAGTGTTTGTTGAATGAAGCCACAATCTATATGGGTCCTCCTGACTCTGACGTCGTAGAATGTCCTATGGTTCTAGACTATCCCATGGTTCTGCAGCCGATGCTTCTCCCGCAGGAGCACCGAGGACCTTCCTTGCAGCACACAAGCCCCGGGGCTCCCTCAGACATGAAGCCCATGGGTCCACTGGGAGGGGATGCCTGGAGGCCCCCTGCCCTGGCTCAGCACTCAGGCAGCTGACCGAGCAGGAGACACTCAGCGCTCAGGAGCCAGAACAAATCGCCCTCTTAACAGACTTTTCCACTGGAGTGGAGCTCCTTGACTTCAATTTATTCCCAGCTGGAAAACAAGCACATTTAAAATCATGCCACATCGTAACACAGCGAGGTCAGCTGTGCAAGGCCTGCGACCAAGGAGAAGCGACTGAACACAGGCACTCTGAGCCCGGCCACAGGGCAAGGACACTGGGGGGCACTCGGTGTGCACACCCCTCCCACCTTACCTCCTCCAAGGTTCTGGGCTTCCATGTGGACCAAGTCAGAGTCGGCGTCCATCCCAGACACAGCCCTGGAAAAAGGGTGGGCTGGGGTTGGTGTCAGGAATGGGGTCCTCAAGCCCCGGTCACAATGCCTGCATCAGTCCCCACAACCCAAAGGGCCACATGGTCCCCAAGCCTGCGAGTGCAAGGACCTAGTCCCCCCAGGAGCCACTGGCCGGAGCCCCAGCCTCTTCCTTGCAGGCCCGAGGTGCGCTTGGTGGTCTGTTTCTGTACTATTATTGAAGATCCTTCACAGAAGATGTTCACATTCCTTGTGGTACGTGTGTGTGTGTGTGTGTGTGTGTGTGCGCTGTGTGTGTGTGTGTTTGTGTGTTGTGTGTGTGTGTGTGTTGTGTGTGTGTGTGCGCGTGCACATGCGCTGTGTGTGTGTGTGTGTGTGTTGTGTGTGTGCGTGTGTGTGTGTGAGAGAGAGATGATTAAAAATGAGTTAGGAGGCCAGGCAGGTCTGGGACTGTCATCCAAATTTTGCTAATTAGGAAACTGAGGCTCAGAGGAGCAAACACCTGCCCAGGGCTGCCCGGCTATGCCCCAGAGCCCAGGCTCCCCTGGGCTCCCTCCTGTGTCCCTGCTGCGCCCGGCCACACCACCCCAGTGTGTGCCCCTCCCCTGGCAGTGGGCATGGGCTCAGCAGCGCTGGAACACGGCGGGGACTGTGGCTGCCAGTGGAGCCTGAGAAGAGCGGATGGACAGCGCGTCCCAGGGTGACAGCTCAGCTCCATGGGCTGCGTCCTCTGGGGAGGCAGCAATGCAGCTCAACTGCTTTGGCGCTGACCTGGCACCCCCAACACAGGGTCTGGCACCTGGGATGTGAGGTGCAGACTTTTTGACTAAAAGAAATCGTAGAGATACCTTGGCCCAGAGCTCCCAGACTTTACCGTTACCATGCGTCCACTGGCCTATCACCTACCTGCCACTTCATGTTGACTACCTTTAAAACCCTCTGCCTACGGCAGCCTTCTCCTAGGAAGAATACACAGGACGCCCTGGGTCTGATGAGCTGACTGCATGGGTTACAACACCCAGGCAAGCCATACGGCCATCACACCGCCCGTCAGACCGCCCCCTCTCGCAGGCCCTGACCCAGTGCAGCACAGTCCCACTGCCCAAGAGCAAACCGCGTCAGGACACAGAGGTCACAACTGTGCTCAGCGCCCAGGAGGTCACGCTGCCTCCATGCAGAGCAGGCCCGCAGGCCTTTCTGGGCCAGGGGGACGTCCCAGCAGAGCGCCCAGTGCCCCCGCCCCATCGCTGGCATGCCCTATGTGGAGTTGGCCCCTTTCAGTCTCTGCCAGCCTCCCAATGGGCTTGGCACCAGGGTCCCTGTTTGCTTCGCCTCCTTCAGGGGCCAGGTGGCCCCAGGTGGCCAGGGAAACCCAGATGTGGGCGTGAGTGTGTCACGGGCCCTGCAGACACTCCGCAGACAGGAGCCAGTGGGGAGCCCCCCGTGGTCCCCTGATGTGTCAAACCCGGGGCTCCCACGCCCAGCTCTGCTCCTGGGCAGTCTCAGCTTCAAGGTGAAGTGCTGACTGAGGCTTCTACGAACAGACCCTCAGCAAGCTCCGGGGAAGGAGGGCTGCTGCCTGACATTTTTCTCTTCTGAATAAAGACATATTGTCCCCTTTACCGGGAGCAGTGACGAGTTCTCGGCTGGGCAGACAGGATTTCAGTCTGGCCGTCCATCACCTGGAGAGTGGGGTGAGGGCGTGGGCCACTCACGGGCTCCCTGGCTCGCTCGCTCACTCACGCTCACCCACGCGTGCTCACCAAGGCCATGCGCTCACCACGCACCCCCTCACTCTCCTGCTCCCCCACCACAGTGTCTCCCACCTCATTCCCCTGGGCCAGGCATGGGCGCAGAGTGGGCCTAAGGCCCCTTGCCCGAAAGCCCCGGGTCACGGGTTTGGAGGAGATGGGAAACCCTGCACTCACAGCCCCACAGACAGAGCCAGCCTGGCTCCGAGTGGCAGAGAACCGGTGCCGACCCCTGGGTCTTCCTGTTTGTCAGGGTCCCCAAGGCTGGTACCGGGGGAGGCCCTTGGTCCGTTACTTGGAAAAAGCAGCCACACGAGATGTGCAAGCAGATGTCTGGAAGGAGCGAAGTGTTGTGGGAATGCGGGGGGTTGACTTGATCCCTGTGGGACGCTAAGGGAAGCCAGAGAAACCCTCAAGGCACTGCAGCCGGGCCTGTCGGGGGCTGACCTCTCCCCTCCCCTCCTGCCTTCCTCCCTCCCTTCCTTGCTGTACTGACAGGGACACCGCCACTTGCCCCAAACGGGGGGCAGGCTCTAGGGCTGATGGAAGAAGAAGGCAGAGGCTATGGGTGAGCTCAGGTTTGAGGCAGAGAAGCAGGTGTGGGCATGGCTCGGGGGTTACAGGCAGCCACCAGCATGGCCACCGGCCACAAGCAGAGGAGCCCCGTCCACAGGCAGCCTGAGCCAGGACAGGTGCCCTGGCCTCCCCGAGCGTCGGGCTTGCCCTCCGTGATGTACCTCCGGGAGGACCCCGGGTGTACTGTGTGGATGTCCTAGGGCACTTTCAGGCCCTCGGTCTGGCACCTGGTGGGCAGTGAGCATTCACAGCACAGCTACTGGGGGGCCGCTGTGGTTCTATTCCAGACTGGCGGTGGGGTGTCCACCGTGGGCCCAGAATACACAGGTCCCCCATGCCCGAGCTGCCCCTGCCGCAGCCGGGAGCCCACTCTGGTCGGCCTCTCCAAATGTCAACAGGCCCGAGCCTCAGGCGGAACACGGGGCCTTGGTAATTCCTGCTGCCAGTTCACGGACAAAGAGCACATTGGAAATGCTGTCAAAACAGCACTGAGCACTGCTTGCGAGAGGGGCGCCCCCTCACCTTGCTGTCACCACATTCCAGGGGAGATTCCTGGGCCCCCCGTGGCCGTGTTGGCATGATTATCTCTCACACATAACAACTCCGAGCAATTGAGAAACTTGTGGGAAGAAATAATTTGATTTGCTGGAGATAATAACGTGTTTGGATCGGTGCCCGTTTACCTCCCAGCATCTGTGGGAGGGCTTCTCTCTGGCCGGAGAGGTGTCCCCTGAGCCCGGGCCTGGACACGCTGAGGCAGAGCCCACCGCTCTGCCAACTCCCAGGCTGGCATGGCATAGAATCCCACCTCCGTGCCTCCCTCCCCGCCCCCTGCAGACCCTTGGGGGCCATCAGGGGAAACCAACAAGGCCCGTGAATGATGGCCGCCCTGTCCCCGGGGAAGCAGCCAGGCTGAGCCACGGGCTGCCATGTGAAGAGAGAGCCATGACCTCTCCCGCCAGCAGAGCGCACACACCCCGACGGAGGGCAGCCAGAGGGCAGCCAGAGGCCCCCTCAGCTCAGGGTCCTCGCCACCACAAGCACGAGGCTGTGATGGAGCACGGGAGGGGGAGGGGAGCTGGGCCCACGGGTCTCCTGGGGGGACAGGACCGGCCGTGCAGCGCTGTGCTGCACAGGTGAGATAAGAAAGGGGAGGGAGGGAGTGTGTGTGCACACCCAAGACATGTGGTAGAAAGAACACGTGTGTAACCACGCGCATCTCCAAGGCCGTTGCAGCAGAAGGATGGCCACCACGGCTGGTGCAGGGCAACAGGGCTGCGAGCCAGCGCCCCGGGCGTCAGTCACCTCAGTGACGATGCCCAGCCCAGCCCTCTGCTGGCACTCACCCCGGGGCCTGGCTCACCCAGCTCACCAGCACTGTGTGAGCACCAGCGCATCCTGCTTGGGGAAATGAGACCAGAACTGCTCAGACTGATGGCTGAGCGGCTTCCAGGAGGTGACGCAGTGTGGGTGGGGTGCCCAGCACAGGACGGGGCAGGACAGCAGGGGCTGAGGAAGCATTGGGCGGGAGAGGCTGCACCAAGGGCAGCTACTCAGGGCCTGGGGCAGAACCTGGGGCAGGAGGGGGAAAGGGAGAGGGGAAGTGGGAGAGGCCCTGGGGAGGGGGAGGGGAGGCGGGGCCTGAGGGCCCCCAGACGCAGGTAGCTGGCTGCAGGTGCTTAGCAACCCTCCCTGCCCTGCCAGAACGGGGGGCCCAGGAAGGGCCTGGGAGCTGCACTGCCCTCGTGGGCCACTCACCTGCGGACATCAAGCCCTGAGGCCCAGGCGTCTCCTGCTCAGCCTCCACCGAGCAGGGAGGGTCCCTGGAGGGCCCCAGGGAGGTGCGCACAGGGCTGGAGTCAGGGCCGGGGAGGGGGTGCCCTGAGGGGGGCTGACTGGCGCCCCCAGCCGCAGGTGCCCAGCGGGGCGCTCTCACCAGAACACGTGGTCTTTGGTCACTCTGTCCTGCAGAAGCGTCCACTTCTTCCCCAGGTTAGATGATACATAGAGCTTTAGGGCAGAGAGAAGAAACCAGGTTTGGTCCTGAGGGGGTGAGCCGGGCAGGAGTCGGTCCTGCCCAGCCCCCCGGCACCTGCTGGTGGCCGCCCTGGCTCACCCGGGGGCTCAGGCCAACCTCCAGGAGGCAGAAGGTGGGGCGCAGGGCTCCATGAAGAGCCATTCTCACACCCAGGCCGGCTGGTCGGAGCCGAGACAGGGCTGGGAGGGGCGTGGGGGCTGCACACCCATCTCTGCCACCTCCCGCTCCTCATGCCAGCTTCCCAGGCCTCAGTTGTTTTCTCCTCCGATTAATGGAGCTATAGGGTCCTGCGCCCGGCACTGCTGGGGTTGGTGCAGCAGGGAGGGGGTGCTCTGTCTCTAACGTGGATGCCCCTCCCCACCGCCTGTCCTGCAATCCCCACAGAGCCACCTTCCCTCCTGCCCAGGATCGATGTCACCTCTCTCAGAGCTGTCAGCTTTCCAAGAGGCATCTCCGTGGGCAGTCACAGTGCCCTGGAGACCAGGAGAAGGCTGGACGTTGTGTCATCTAACACGTCCACACAGGAGAGCCGGGGGGGCGGGTGAGCAGAAGCCCGAGGGCCACTCGAGGTGGGCTGGGCCTTGCCTGGTCCCACAATGTGCTTCGTGCTCACCCGGCCCAGAGCCCAGGGGTGAACCCAGCCTGGTCCAGTGCACACGCTCACACACAGCACACCCATGCCCACATAGGGACAGGCACACATGGACTCACATGTGCACACATACCTTACACCGACACATGTATACACGCATGTTCACACACATAGACACACACAGAGATATGCACACACATGCTGACACACACACGCAGACACACTCACACAGACGCACAGATACAAGCAAATACACACTCCCACTTGCTCCCCTCGAACCCTGCAATCCATGGCAGGGGGCCCTGATGGGAAGTGGGGAGCTCGGAAGTGCACGTGCCTCCTGCCCAAACCCCTCCCTCTGCTCCTCATTTCGGTCAGGTTCCTGTTCACCCGCATTGCAGTACATTTCCTGCCTGGCCCTCGGATGCCCAGCGCGTCACCTCTCAGTCCGTCCCGTGACGTCTCTAGGACGTGGATGCTTTATCAGCTCACTGTACGGCTGGAGAATGACAGCTAAGGGCAGCTGCGTGACTCGCCTGGCCTGGTCACGGGCGCAGGCTGGGTTCTGTTCTCTGTGATTGGACTGCATCTTCCCTCACTGCTCCGTATGGAGGTGGGTCTGGAAGGGATCAGTTCAGCGGAGCAGTTTCTGAACTGCTGAAAGGAAGGCTCAAGACAGCCATTCGACCTGGGGTAGAGCAGACCCAGTTTCTCCATCTGTAAAATGGGTCTGACAATCAGAGCCGCCGGAACTGGAGCCCACAGCTGCTGGCCTCAGAGCCGGCGCAGACCGATCCACGCCGCGTGCTCCATGCCGCGTGCTCCTCGTCTGTTCCGACCTGCCCTCCTCACGGGCACTTATGGGATGCAAACGAGGTCATGGGCGTTGCTTTCACTGCTGTTCGAGAAAGCATTTGCAGAATCCCTGAAGGGAGATTGGGGCCCATCCAGCACAAACCCTGTGCTGCCCAGACCTTCAGCGTGGACAGACGACCCCCGTGCTCCTGGAAGCCCACCTCAGGCCTGCTCAGTGCCGATCTCCCAGCAGCGCCCGGAGCCAGGACCCCGGGCCTTGTCCTCACCACCCCACTGCCAGATCCCAGACATCCCCACGCTTCCCCTGCCCCCCTAACCCGCGGCCGCTGCCCTCTGCCCCTCCCCTCTACCCCACAGCACAGCTGAGTGCCCGGCACCCTTGTGGCTCCTGTGGCACTTCCTCCAAACTCCTGCCTTCCCATCTGGCCCTTGCTCCACAAGGCAGCCACAGGACCCTTCTGGGACACACACCTGACCACATCACTCTCCTGCGCCAGACCCTGTGGGGGATGCCATGCCCTCTGGATGAGCCCACGCTCCTTAGATGGGCACTTGGGCCCCGGGGCCACCCAGGCCTCTCTCCTGCTCCCACCCTCCCACATGCCCCCCTCTCCAGTCACACCCAGCTCTGGGCTCATGCACCACCAGGGAGCTAATGTGCCTTGCAAAGTCCTCTGAGCATCTGCACCTGCTATCCCTCCATTCCTTTATAATCTGCTCCTTGCCCCTACCCCTTCTGTATAAGTAAGAGCCTGGGGGCAGGGGTTTTGTCTGTTTTTTCACAGCTGCTCCCCCAGCTCGGAGGCACCCATGCACAGCAGGCCCTTCCATGAATATTCCCTGAGCGAATGAGCAGATCTCCTCCAGTCCCGGCTGGTTCCCGGGGCCGGGGGTGTGAGGTCCACTCCCCTACACATTCTCTTTCCTTGATTTCTCCTCCCTATTAGCATCCTGTAGATCTGAGTCTAGTATACTGGCAGCGGAGAGACCCCAGGAAGGGTGGCAGTCACCTGTCATCCTGTCTCTGGGCCATCTGAGTGACCAGGCCAGACCCCTTCTACCTTATGTCTCACCTTACCCCTCTGCACACTGGGAGAGCGCTGCCCACAGCTTCAGGCCGTAAGTGAGCACAAAAATGAGTCTGCAGCCATCAGTGCCCAGGAGCCAGATAACAAAGCCTCTGCATTAGCGGATGGCGTTACTGTCACCATTGCCACCAAGGCACTTGCATCGATGACGCCCACCCCAGAACATCCCCAGAATGTCGGGAAGCTGCTCCAATTCGCTCTCATGGGAGGGGATTTTATAATGCATCATCAATGCTGCAGAAATAGAACATTTCTGCTTAATAAAAAACAAACACCAGCAAATAGACAAGAATAAACCCATCAGGATGCCCCAGTTACTGTGGATAAACCGCACATGGTGATGGCCTGCAGAGGGGTTGATTGACTCCTTATCGCTCAATACTGTGACATGGAGATAAAGGGCACAGAGGTCGGAGCCAGGCAGGAAGAAAGGTTCAGGAGCAGTGGCAGGTCAGAGAAAGGTGCATCCCAGAAACAGGTGCCAGTAGGTCTGCTGCGATCATTAGAGGGCTTTCAGTGGTGTGCAGGGTGAGGTCCTTAGCACCCTTCTCCCTCGTACAGGGCGACGGGCTGGGCGCACAGGCTGGAAAACTGACACCCAGCACTGCTCAGACTCCCCTACAGCTAGAGTTCTGGATGAGACAGATGCACCCGTGTGAGGGTTGGAAGGCAGAGGGCGCTGGGGCACTTTCCTGCCCCTGTGGGCTGTTTTTGCTGGTCGGGACAGTCATGGGGACTTGCTCCAGCATCCTTCCTCCAGCTGTGGAGGGTGGAAAGGAGCTGTGATGGACACAGCAGGTGGACCCTGCGTCCCTGCGTCTGACCGCTGGCTTTGCGGATGTTGTCACACGGTGTGGGCGGCAGCAGTGTGATTTCAGATGCCTGGATCTCGACATCAGCTGTGTGTTTTTGACCTTGGTTAGTCCAGTGGGACTCCTGGTCCCCCTTCTCCGACAGGCGAGATGGAAGCTCACTGGGGTGACAGGACAGCTCACAGGCTTCGGGTCTGCCTGAAGCCTCCCCACCCACCCTCGCAACAGTTTGGAGCACCTGCTCCCCAACGCTAAGTCCTTTTTCTGCTAAAAATGTCTAGAGTGGAGTCTCGCCCCTGCCCTGAACCCTATCAGACACAGGTGGTCAGAGCGGACAGCGCACACGCTGAGGTGTAAGGTCCTCGCTGCTCGCAGCATCACTCTCCTACTCAGAGAAGCCCGGTTCTTCCCGATTCTGGAGTCTGAGGTCAGAGAGCGCAGAAGAGGGGCGCTGAGGTCCAGACCCCTCCAGGGCAGCCCATCAGCCTGCTTGTATTCACGGCATCCGGTGTGCATCCCACCACCCGGGCAGGGCTCCACCTTCCTTCCCTGCAGCGAGGCTGGAGGGCTGTGGGCACTCACTTTTCTTTCCTTTCTTGTGCAATCATCTTTCTGTGCTGAAGTCACAGTGAAAAGAAATCCTGACCCATCCTCTTAGCCCCTACTCAAACCCCCTCTTCCAGGAAGGCTTCTTTGATAGGCCACCCAAGGTGTCTTTTCTCCCCTACTAAGTCACTGGAAGGCAGTCCTGGGATCAGATCAATTTCTCACAGTGCTGGGAAGCACAGGAGGGCCCTGATGGAGAGCAGAATAGACCCTAGCAGCGGGACTGGGGGTGCTCTGGAGGTGAGTGCCCAAGGCAGGCTGGTCAGCTGGTGCCCGAGGTCCCCCAGGTGGCATGGGGAGGGTCTGTCCCGCTCTCACAAGATTTTGAGCCAGGAGTCTAATACTGTTTCCTGAGCCTTCAAATACAAACCACTGCGTTAGGCTCCCACCCGGGGAAGAGCCAAATAAAGTGGCCTCAGCACCCCGACTTATAATGACACAGAAAAGAGGGGACTGAAGGTAGGGGGCCAGGCCAGTCTGAGGGTGGACGGTCTGTTTGCTGGGAGAAGGGGCAGGATCTGGGGGGGATAATGAAGGGAAGAAAATAGAGGAGGACATTTGGTTTCACATGAATCGCATGCCCTGGGAACAGAACACTTATGCTAACTCTGAGTTTGGCATGTTACTTGCTTTGACCGATGATGTATGAGGGGATGTGATGGATTCCTGGTCAAAGCAGACATGCTGTAGCAGGTGGATGCCCTCTGCCTCCCCCATGGGAACAGAATGTCCCCAAGTAACTGCTGGTTCCAGAACAAGAGACATGTGGAGGCCTGAGCTCTCCCCAGCAGCCTGCAGCCATGTCTAGGCCATCCCAGCAGGGCCCGGCAGAACTGTGTGTTACTCGGCATTAGGACAGCAGACGCCTGCCTAACACATCGGGTCTGATGGCATCAAAAGCCAGGGCTGTCCCACCACACCATTCTGTTTCTTGGAAGTTAGAGAGCTCTGAAAACCATAAAATCTTTCAAAAAGCTAAAGTCCTGCTGTCATTGTTAATTTCCCCAAATTCCTTATTCCTTATACAACCAGAGCTAAGCTCTTTCTTCTCTCCTTTCTCTTTCCTTACAGTCACAGAAAAGAACCAAGGAAAATATGGGAGATTTTGGCTCCATTAATTTTTCAGGGCACCGTAAATTAAAGAGCAATTGCAATGCAGTCAATTTCTGCAGGAAAATAAGTCTCCGCGATTGTGCTGTTGTCTAATTACATGGAAGGCTAAGTAGTGCTATTAACACACAGGAGCACCCGCTGTCCCAAAGGGAGGGGCCAGGAGTGAAGAGTAGCCCACGAGGCCAGGGAGATTTGGGCCCGCAGCCGGGAGGCCAGGTCCTGCAGGAAGCCAGCAAGATTCAGGCATGGAGCAGAGCTGGGCAAGGAGGCCAGGTCCTGCAGGAAGCCATGACCCGGGCCAGCTGAAGTTTCCATCTGCAGGCCCTCAAGCTGGGTGATCCCTACTGCTAGACACCTGCCCTTCCCTCAGTGATTCACCCAGCCCTGGCAGCCATCCTGTCCCACCCTCCAGGCATCCTCCATGCATGCAGCTACTGTCCAGCCAGCAAATAATTCCAACCAGAAACTCGAGATAAAATGGTGCAAAAATGGGTCATAGTTTCTGCCTTCAGGAGCTTCCCCCAAGTGTGTGTGTAGGTCACAGACAGTGATCGAATAACAGCACAGGTACAAAGGCCCAGGAAAGGGAGGCACTGGAACAGTGGGGCCCAGGTGGGCCTGCAGGGGAAGGCTCCCCAAATGGGCAGCTTCCATTCGCCTCCACACCCTGCCCTTCTCCGTCCTTCTCTGCTGGTGTACGTGTGTGTGTGGGGGTGGGGCACTGACCTGTCCTTCTTTCTGGCTTCTGGGTGGAGTCAGCCCGGGGGAGGCACCAGCAGAAAACAGAGAGGCTGGGGCGGTGTTACTCCTGCTCCCCGAGTGCCCACCTGCAGCCTGGCAGTGCCTGGGTTCCTCTGCCTGGGCCGGCCTTCTCCTGGGCGGGGAGTCAGTCCCGGCCCCGGGGACCCAGCCCCCCCTGGCCCTGGTGAGAGCCCTCCAGTGGCTCACCCACCTGCCCTGGGACGGTGCCCGTGGGCTCCCTGGTGGACACAGCTGTGGGAGGGTGTGTGGAATGTTCCAGAAGTGGAGGAAGGCCCCGTGGCTGGTGTGCAGGGGCAGGCAGAGGGGAGCAGTCCTAAGAGCTGCGTGCTGCCGGTCCTGCCCTCGCTTCTGCCCCCAGCAGGTGGGGGCGGCCCCGGCCCCCAAGAGCAGAAGCCTTCCTTGCCTCCTGACGCCCAGCCAGGCCCGCTCACCTTGCTGTCCTTGGTGTAGGCCAGGACCTTGTCCTCCTCCTTGGGGTGGAAAATGAGCGTTTCCACAGCGAAGGGGACGAGCTGTCCCTGGAAGGTGGCGCCCTCGTCCGTGCTGAGGAACAGGCCCTGGTCTCGGTCGCTGAGCGAGGAACCCACCAGGATGATCTGAAACACAGGCCATGGAGGTGAGCCCTGGGCCAGGGCGGCAGGGCAGGGCCCCCGGGGTCCGCGAGTGCCAGGCGCCATCTGGGGCTGAGAGACGGCTTTGGGGACGATGGGTGCTCCAGGGACACCGAGGGCAGTGGGGTGCGGGGGGCGGTGGGGGGCAGCCTTCAGGACAGCCCTGAACCCGCGGCTGAGGGCCCGGGGCAGTGAGCACCAGGGACCGGACGCGGGGCGGCCAAGGGGCCACGGGACTGACGTACAGAGGGTCAAGGTCCAGGAGGCCTCACAGGGCCTTGTAGTGGGTCACGCGGCATCCCCAGAAAGGACATCCACGTCCTAACCCCGGCGCCTGTGGACGTGGCCTGATGTGGATGCACGTCTTTGCAGAAGTGATAAGCTGCCCATGTGAGGCTGGGATCGGCAGGAGTGCTGGGCCGCCAGGAGCTGGGAGGGCCTGGGAAGGATTCCTCTCGGAGCCGACACCCTGACTCTGGACTTTGGGTCACTCACAGCCCCAGGGACAGCTCTGTGAAGCGGGGACCCTCCTGCAAAGGCCATGGGGTGGCCGTGCCCTTGGTGAGCTGGTTTAGGTTTCCTCAGTGTCCTCAGTTGTCAGGGGCCCACCCAGGGGCAGGCAGAAAGGGCTGCCCCTCCACCCACCAGCCAAGGAGGTTGGCCGTCAGGGTGGGCTGAGAAAGTGACATAGCACTGGGCCCAGGTGCGGCGGCCCCCCAAGCCACGTGGTTCCCCCACCTGCAGGGTGCATGGCCCACCTCCAAGCTCACCTGAGAGACTCATTCCCCATAGGGAAGCCGAGGCACGTCCCTGCACACAGACCCAGCGACCCTCAGCACTCCTCTTAGCCTAAGGAGGCTCTGACCACTGTGGTGGAGTCTGCAGACCCTTCCTGGATTGGCCCAGTCCCCTGCCTCCTGCCTGCACCCCAACCACGGCCAACATAGTCCACCCTTCAGGCAGCCCCTCCTCCATGTGTCCCCTCTGTGTCCACTTCACCCTGGACGAGGTTGAGCTCCCTGCTTCAAGGCCACAGGGGACCCCCTAACTTGCCAATCAAAAATACCCACATGTCATGGTGGTGGCCTCTTATCCCAGGACTGAGGCCCTGCTGGGCCAGGGGCCATGTCTGTGGTGTTCACTGCTGACCCCCCTCCTGCCCTCACCCTGCGAGGCCTGGGCACTCTGCACATTTGTTGAGTGAAAGAATGAATGAATGCAGGAATTAGTGAATGAATAAATGCGTGAGTGGACCCTGTGCTGGTAGAGGAGTGGCTAGGGGTACACGTTCAGTCTTCAGACAACCCAGTTCAAACCCCACGTCTACGGGACCCAGGCAAGCTTACTTGACATCCTGTGCCTCTGATGTCCCGCCTGTGGAATGGGGAACCCACACGGCGCCTGGCCCTGAGCGAGCCCTCAGCGAGCGTCTAATGCGAGTGTGACCGGGCTGTCCTCATCACAGCTCCGTGAGGCCGTTCTCATCACGCTGTTACTGCCTCTGCTTGGTGGACAGGGACACTGAGGCCCAGAGGAGGGAGGCAAATGGGCTGAGGCTGCACGCCCAGCGGGCTGCAGGCAGGGTCCGGATCTGAGCGTGATTCTAGGGCCCTGCTCTTAGCCACATGCTCTGGGGGGAGTCCCTGCAGGATGGGGTGTCTTCGCAGGGCCTGGAGCTGGCATGGTGGGGAAGGGGCTAGCCTGGCTGAAGAGGCAGGAGCAGGGAGACCCCTTCGGTGCGGGCGCCCCACTGGGAGAGCCCCTCCTGAGCTCTGGCGTGCCTCTAGAAGCGTAAATCGATAACCCACACAAAGCTCCTGTCTTTACTTGAACAAATGATAATCTGATATGTTCTTTCTTTGCAGGGAAACCTAATGAGCTCCCCAGGCATGTTAATTAGTCTCCTGTACTGCAGAACCCTTCGCTCCCAGCAAGCCGAGGGCCTCAGGGAGACTGGCTGCACTCATGGAGCCCGATTCCTCAGCTTTGCTCCTGGATAGGGGGATGAAGACGAGCTCAGAGGCGTGCCTCATGACGTGGCTCGCGTGCAGGAAGAATGGGGCAGGCGCTGAGGGCTGGTTAGGGGAGCCACAGAGGGCATAAAAATGTTTGCAGAAAATGTTGAATGGTAGGAGAGCTCATGTGCTCATGAAAAAAAAATCAGGGAAAAAAATGATCAGCAACTATAATTTCTATACATTTCACATTGACAAAACTATAAGGAAGTATATTATAATTTTTCAATGGTGAGTGTATAAAAGTAAGTCTAATTCTGTCCGTGGAAAATGCATAGAAATAAAATGGAAGGAATATTACACACCATAAAGAAGAGGGAAACCTTACCATGTGCAACAATGTGGATGGAATTGAGGATATTATGCTAAGTGAAATTAATTAACAGAAAGACAGCTACCATATGATCTCACTTACAGGTCTAAAAAAAGGGGAAAAAAAACAAAACAAAACCAAGCTCATAGATGCAGAGATGAATAGGCGGTATCACAGGCAGGGAGTGGGTGAAATGTGTGGAACAAATGTTCAATTGTAAGATAAGTAAGTCCTGGTAAGGCCACATGGCAACGGCACCCGCCGTCAGCAGTGGTGTACTATGCATGTGAAAGCTGCTAAGAGTGAATCTTGACAGTTCTCATCACAAGAAAAAAACACTTTGTGACTCCTGTGGTCACCTGGCAATATAAACAAACATCAGTCACTGTGCTGCACAGCTGAAAAGGATGCAATGGCAAATAGACCTCGACTAAGGAAAAGAACGGACAGAAACGCAGGGGACCTTCGAGTGGCTTTAAGTGGCAGGGTTAGAAGGAATGAATTTTCTTATTTTAAATAAACTTTTTAGTTTAGAATAGCTTAGATTAACAGAAAAGTGGCATAGTACAGAGCTCCCTCTACCCCACTGCTGGAGTCCTCTGTCATTAACATGCGACATAAGGCCGCATTTGTCACAGCTAAGGAGCCAGCACTGCCACATCGGTAGTATCTAAGCCACACACTAGATTTTGCCAGTGTTCCCACTAATGTCCTTGTCTGGCCCAGACCCCACATTCCCACATGACGTTCAGCGGTGACGTCTCCCTGGGCTCTGCGGGGCTGTGACAGTCTCTCTGACTCCTGGTTTTCCACGCCCTTGAGTTTTGAGGTGCTCTGGCCAGGCACTTGGCATCGTCCCCTCAGCTTCGGTGCGTCCAACAGTTTCTCACGGTGATACTGGGGCTGCGGGTCTGGGAAGGAAGGGCGCAGAGGGGACCAGCGAGCCTCACCACGGCACGTCCAGGGCACATACGCGCACACACGACCCCCCACTGCTGAGGCCGGGACCGCGGCTGGAACCGCACCCTTTCTCCCGCTCTCCCGGGAGGAAGTCTCCAAGCACAGCCCACACCGGAGGAGGGGCAGACAGGCTCCCGGCTCTGAGGGCGGAGAGGCCACACACCGCACTGGGAATCGTCTGCACGGGACTTACCTCTTCTTCCCCATTTAGTTACTTATTCTATCATTTATTTATATCGCTTTGAACTCATGAACATTTATTTTACATTTTGAGTTATAATTCAATACTATTTTGTTATTTTGTTGATCCCGCACTGCACCTGATGACCCTGGATGGTCAGGAAAAATGAGATGAATCACAAGATTTCTTGTCCCTCCTTCTGGAGACAGCATGGTTCATTTGACACCCACTCAACACTCTTGGGCCAAGCGCTGCCCCCCCCAACACTCAGGGCAGGGACCCCCACATCGACCTTGGGCTGGGCCCTCTGGCCAGGGGAGCTCGAATTTACCTCATGAAGGCACTTTGCTCATGATACATGTTGTTCTGATGACACAACTATTGACTTACTCACCGCCCTGGCTGGGCTGTGCTGGGAGCACAGGAATAGTGCCCTCGCTCTTTCCTACCTCCAGCGTCCAGCACAGGCCTGACCAGAGCTGTCGGTGAATCCACGCTGGCATGACATGCGAATGAATTAATGCATGTGTGCACGCATAAAGGAGTGGGCCCATCTCAGTTTGTGACGCCTAAAGGAATGCTTTTGTGCCTTTCTTCTTTGGGAGGAAACATCCCTAGGGAGAATGAAGTAGTCTGGTGAGAAGATATTATATAAAAAATCTTTCCCTATTCCTCTCCAATGCTCAAAAGGCCACACCTCAATGGAGGCTCATTCATTCATTCATTCATTCGTTCATTCTTTTGCAGTTGCTAGAACCACAGCATCAAGCATGGGCTTAGGTATGCATGGGGCTTTCTGGGAGCAGAGCAAGGGAAAATAGCATCCAGGTGTAGGACAAAAAGGAGGGCTTCCTGGAGGAGGTGATGATCAGCTTAGCCTTGGAGAATGGATAGAAATTTGATTGGCAGACGCAGGGAAGGGTCTTTCAGGCAGAGAGAACAGCGTGACCACAGGCAGGCAGGTGCGGGCCTCTGGCTCCAGCCTCACCACTTCCACCCCTCCCACTGCTGGCATCAGCCACGTCAAACTCCTGGTGTATTTCTCCAGCTGACTGAGACCATTAACTTCCCGACCACTTTGGCAAGCACTGTCCCCTCTGGCTGGAATGCACAGCAGGACCGGGACACCCCTAACCTCAGCACTGGTGATTCAGGATCAGATTTGAGAATCTCAAAATGACACTAAATCCATGTGTGATAAAATGAAAATAACTTATTTGAAATTTTTCGAGCCTCAAATTCTGGGCAACTTCAACAATGCTTCTCATTCATTTTTGGTGCTCCCCGCACGAATGTAGCCTGTTTGTATGATGGGATACCTTTGCCCCATTAATCTGCTTGTCAAACACCTTCTCATCCATCAAGACACATCTCAAAGGCCACATCCTCCAGGAGGCCTTCCATGATACGCACCCCCCAACAGAGTCACTTTGACCCCTCCTCTGCCCCTTCCTCCAGCATCTTGTGCATTCATTTGCTCCAGTCCAATGTTCCTGGTGTTCTCTGCCTCCTTCCT